TTATTCAAAAATAAAAACATCATCGCTTTTCTCAAAATCACATAAAGCCATATTATAATATCGACTAAGATAAAAAATAAAATGAAATATTAAAATCACGATGTATCTCGCTGCATTGCGCGAGTACGCTTCTAGTTTTAATGTTAAAAACAAACCAGATAGTTTTTAACGTTTAAACGGTCTAGTCCTATATGCAAAATAGCCAAACCGTTCAGTTTATTCTGGTTTGCGATTTGAATATTTTTTGAGTGGGTTGGGCATAACCGACTGTTAAAATAGACGTACATTTATTATATTTAGTGTTTATGCTGTATGCTCAACTTTTATAACTCTATTAAAAAATCTGTCAAAGATGTTAAATTTTTAGCTTTCACTTCTCAATTTTCAGTGTTTCTTAAATTGACAAAATTCCAAAATTCGTCGAAAATCAAAATGCAATGATTTATATCGTTGGTAGACTTGTTCAGCCTTTCTTTTTCTTTCAAGAAGAAGTGTTTGAGAATTGAGCCCATTTATTGATGAGCCCAACTCTAACAATGTAAATGTGGCATTTAGACTTTTTTTCTTCTTCATTTTTATTAGAGATGGCTAAATGGGCCTGAGACCGGCGGAGGATCGGGAGTGGGACCGACTTGGGCCCGGCCCAGCTCAGAACCAATTGGGAACGATTTGGGATTGGCGGTCTAGGACCGGTCATAATTTTCGTCAAAAAAGAAGGCCCGGCCCAAAACCGGTTTGGGACTGGTTATGGGCCCGATCCAGGATCGGCCCAATTTTTTCAAAAATATTACACACAACTCTAACAGCTACTCTGTTTTAACAATTTTATCATTAACTATATTATTAAAATATTTAATATATATATATATATATATATATATATACATATTGATTTCAGGACTTGTTTATTAATAAGCTTAATAAGACTATAGCTTATTCGGTCAGCTATAAATGAATGTTTGGTAGTGTCTTAATGATAGAAAGCGGTTTATTATAGGAAAATTTTATGCAAAAATCCAAGTTTTTTTCAAACCTGTCATTTCCAATTAAAAAAAATGCTTATTCCATTTATGAAAAAGCTCTCCCACATAAAAAATCTTCTCAATATATAAAGACAGTTTTATTTATACAGAATTTAATTAAAAACCAACCTAACATTTTCTTAGTGACTTAGTGGACAAAATCATAATAGAATGTCAACACTAATAAAGTGTACGGAGATACACCAGATCAATTCTTTTTTCTAAAGCACAGTTTATGGGTGAGCATGCGATTAAAAGTTTAGATTTCTTCTTATGTTTCTCATTTTAACTCTTTTTCCCGTACGATCTTTCGCCATTGACCAAATAGGTCTATATCTTCTCATCAATTTTCATGTTACAATATTCTCAAGAAAATCAGATCCCAGTGTCTGAATGTGTGTGTGTACGCATATGTGACACTATGATTAAGAGAGAGAAGTTCAATTGGAACAAGCACTTGAAAGGATCAAGTAAATATAAGTCGTTTCCAGAGGTTGGAAATTAAAAATCCGTGTTACTTTCTAATGTTTTCATGAGATAAAATCTTGATATTTTACTATGATATGTATCAGAGTTGAAAATTTCAAGCTAGATTACTGTAATTTATGCAGAGAAAAGAGTGGTGCGATGATGCAAATACCACCACATGTAAGTTATACCCAATATACTTTCTTACAATTTTTCATCAAAAAACCAACTTATTTTAGTTTTGGTTCAGTCGGAGGAATGAAAATAAAAACAACAAGGAATGAAAATGAGAATGAATTTCCATTCCCCCCTAGTTTAACCTGGAATCAAAATTTGGGCTTCTGGGAAATGAGTCTATTGTATTATATAAAAGCAAACAGTTTCTTTTATTTTCATTCCAATTGATTACTGTTTAATATTCTCTAACCAAACACCCCCTAAGTTCAGATATTTCCAAATTTGAAAATTTCTACCTTTTCTCTGTTTTGATATACATTTTGACTGGTTCCTAGAAAGGAATATATTTGTTCAATATAAATACAATAATTTCTTGTTTACATTACATATAATATAAATAAAATTAAATTTGGTCAATGTTACATATCTTAGTTAATTAATAATTTCTTAAGAAAAATTAAATTAAATA